AGGCTTTTAATCTTTCACTAAATTTGCCAGAAAGCTAAGGGTTTTCACTGAGGACACTAACAAATGCAAAAACAAATGCATGTATGCAAATGTATAGACTTGTGGATTCCTGTTATACAAAACAAGTTTGAATATCAGCGACTGTGTGCTTGTTTTTCTCTACTTTCTAGGATGGTCACAGCTGTCTGGGAAAACATACTTAGCACTCAGACGTGGATTATGAAAGACGAATTATGAAACAAGTGGCTCCAGGCATTTCCTTTTCATTACACAGCAGCTATAAGATTTCCATGTTTAAAGTTAGTGGCTGTTTGTTCAGTTTTTATCAAACAAAATGCTCAGGTATCTCTAACTGACAATAAATTAATGAATACATTTACATATTTATTTATCTTCAAGAAGAAGATGGATGTAGGTCTGTCTGTGATATTAGAAACTGTCTGCATTAGTCTTTTCAGAGACTTTTCTGGAGTTGGTTTTTCCATGCACCATCTTCTTTTCAGTTGTTTGAAGGGGAAAAAAAGGAATTTCAGCAGCATGCCAGAGTCTAAAAGTCTCAAAATGAAACGATTGAGATAATTTTTAGATTCCAGAACATTTTAGGGACGAAAACTGAAGTGAAGACGTTTTCAAAACAAACTTGAGTAGTTTTCATTTATCATTTGGATTCAAAAAGGAATAGAAACCTAAATAAAATCAGTGTTTGGCACTAAACCACTTCAGAGAACACACAGTTCCTCATGGTACATGGCAGGTCAAAAAAAGTGTGTTGGAGAGCTTCTGTGAGTTTTTGTTGTCTCAGTTGCTTCTGTCCCATCATGATGCACCATATGCTGAGATTAAGGGTATTTTGTGAAGGCAGTATCATCTCTTGCAGGACACCTTGCTCTTCATGAAGATGGATCTTAACCAGTCTGGCTGTATGTTTGGGTTCACTGTCGCGCTACAAAAAGAATTTGGAACCAATTTTAAGAAGCTTTAAAACAACACTGCATCCACAAAATGAATAAAGCCGCAAAGTTTGAATCTTAGTTCAAATCTGTGTCTCCAAAACAAGCGAGATCTGAGCTTTTCAGAACGTTACAGTTCGACAATGTTCGTCTGTCTTTTAGATTTCGTGGAGCTGTTCAGATGTGACGACGTCAGGCAGATTTTGTGGAAGGAAAAATAAACCAGCAGGCTGAAAAGTAAATCAGTTCCTTTATTTGTTCTAGTCCACTAATACATTTAAAGGAACATTTAAGCTGCAACACTTTTGTATAATCAGTGGATTAAATAACTCTGCAAAATGAGAAACCCACAAAAACTCTGCACTTCCATTCAGTTTTTGGGCCTTTTTTAGTGTCTTCAAGCTACTCGTTTTGGTTTACTCGCCACGCACATCAGCCTCTTTCAGCTGCTTCCACTGCAAACGCTGATAAATCCTCTTTACACTACCTACCAAACAGCTGCCAGACATATTTATTGAATAAAGCCGGCAAACAATCCTCAGCTAAAGACCCAGCTATTTCCCTCAGGAGGGTAAATATTAGACTTTTATTTATCACATGGCCAGAAGTGAAACTCCAAATGATTGCTAATGTTGTTCTGTGTCTGCACACAAGGAAGAAAAGAAACAAATCACCTTCGCTTTTAAGGAATTGGTCCTTTTGTGTTGACTTTTCGAGCCACACAAGGTAATGACTGAATTGCCAGAATCGATTACATAACCCTATTATACCGCTCCTTGTGGTTGCATCCTTGAGAAGGTGGATAATATTCAGCCAAATATATTTTATTTATTGTAGTAAAGACAACACTGCCCTTACTAAACCCATAAAACTATAAAAGAACACAGAGAGAAAAGCTCCATTACTGTGATTAATCTGTCTTTGACCTTCTGAAAAAAAAAAACAGTTAAAATTGAGAACTAACATCAACATAAAACATCCCTTTTCGGTCGTCCCTGCGCTGCTACTATGGTGACATTTATGTAGAAAGAGAAAAGTGCTGTCCTCCCTGTTCCCTGTTCACTGTCTTCATTCAAACACTTCCAAAAGAACGGAATGCTGTTTTCTTCTTGCATGTTTTCTGACTGCGAACAGATGTGGAATAACAGCAGATGAACTCGTAACCTGTTACAAATGGCTTCGGGCTGTTCACACTCAGCTATAATAGAAGGTATGAGGAAAATGAGAGTTTGAGTTAAGTTACACCTCAGTCTTGCCCATAGGGGCTTTGGGGAATACTATTATGATGCTGCAAGAATCAACATCAAAGCTGTCGCAGTGGAAGGTGTTTGTGAAATTTGACCCCACAATAGCATCTGTATCAATTTTACACTGAAACTGGTGCAAGCATTATGTTGTGTCAAAAAGGTTTGATTTAATGCTTAATGTGTTACCCTATAGGCTCCTAAATATCGATAATTAGCAGTTTCGTAAGTGACAAATCTTGACTGTGTCATTTTTCCACCAAATAAGGACACTGCCACTAGCTGTCGAATTTTAATTTAATAAAAGATAATGCATCTATAGACAAAGAGACCACTTTACTATCCTGGAACTGCCAGTTTAGTCAATAAATTGAAAAAGAAAGTGATAAAATCATGAGGTTAGAACACTAGACTCAGTGTAACAAAAAGTAAAATAAGAAAAACAGCAGCACCATTTTAGAACTTTATGATCGCTACTAAATCATTCGATGCCCAAAGTGTATGACCATCCACATGCTGGAACATCACAACAGCAGCTGACTTTTTCATCTTTTATTTTTTTTCACAACAGCTTAAGTGGAGGAAAAATGTGTACTGCACAAATATCTAAATCCAGCAACAAAAACATAACAGAGAGGTAGTTTCTTTAAATAAAAAAAAAGTGCAGAATTAATGCATTTAATCAGAAATACCCAGTAGTTTAGGGTCACTGTGGGAATAATGACCTCTTTTGCACGTCATGAAAATGATTAGCTTATAATCTGCAGCATCAGCCCTTAGTAGTGCTTAAAACCAAAAAAATGTGCTGCCAGAGGTCAACAGTGGAGACCCACAGTGAGCTACTCTGCTGTTCTGCCATGCCATTTATCAGCTGTGTGGACAATAACCATCACAGCACACCTTAAACTGTCACCTTTACTGTTTTAGAGTCTGTTTAACATAGTGACACATGTAAAGGTTGATAAGGCAACCCCAGGGTGAGGAAACAAACAAAACATGGGTGAAATCTAAGTCAACAGTTCGTGACCTTGTGGGTTGGGCTTCACAAGTCGTGACCAAGATTAAGGAGCATATTTATACACAATATTTTCAGCCTTTTTGGGAATACCTCCCTTGTTCTTGTAAAATAGTGTATAGTTCTAACATGTCAGGCCTTTAAGACATTTTTTAAAAAGACAAAAAAACCAATGTGGTTAACTTGTAGACAACTTAAACATGCTACAGTGGGGCCCTGATTGGATGAGAGTATGCAGGATTTTCAAAATTGCTTTCCCAAGTGTGAACTGTTCTGAACTGGTGAATAAAGCACAACACAGACTGCACACAAGCTTCGAATCTTGTTCTGCTTTCTTACATAAATCTTAAAAGAACAGTTGTCGTTAAAGACCAGTTGTCATCACTCCCATAAATAATGTTCAGATTAGGCAATCTGCACCTATTAGTAGGCCAGAGAGTGTTAAAATGTCCTCTGATAATAGAAAACAAGACAGGTAACCTCTTATAGTCGTAGAAGATACTGTGTAAGGTGTGAAGAAACGACTTTTCCAAACCCTCACCATGTCCTTTTGGTGCCTACGTCTAACCAAACAGCGAATGACAACAGAAAATCAATACAACAGTTGAAAGAAAGTCTAAAAAAAATGACAATTCCAGTCTTCAGGTGAAGGTTTGGCTTGACTTATGCCACCTTGACCCTTCTGCCCTCAAATACAGATTTAAATAGTATCCACAAAACACTGTAATGTGTCCAGTCTGTGCTATCTTCTGCCAGAACTGAGCCTTCTATTTGGTGGAGGACATCTATTAGTCACATCTATGGGAGTGATTTCAACTGATAATGGCCTTTCAATGGGCTGATAACAATCACCACTTTCATGTCTGTACACTGACAAGTAGCTGGGGCCAGAAAATGGTTAGCTTAGCACAGGAGATCAGAAAAGGACTCATCTGGCTCTGTAAGTCACACATATCTATACCTCTGAGGCTTACTAAATAATATATTACATCTTGTGTAATCTATTAAAACTAAATGCCAGAAATGTATCCCTCTCCACTTAGTGTCTCCAAATAATGGCAAACAAAACCCCCTGTTAGGCAGCAAGTTGTTGTTTTACGCTTCTTTTTTTTTTGCACAGATTTGCCAAACAAGACACGACGGGATAATTTATGAACTTAAGCGGTGCCACAGGGTGAATTTTGTTACCTTTGGAGAGAATCGGGGCCATCTGTTTCTCTCAGTGTTTATGCTGAGGTAAACTAACCAGCATTGTCATCTGTCTGATCGGAAGCAAGAGAGCGAGAAAATATCAGACTGTTCATTTACACCTAGACTGTCAAAAGCAAATTTTTAAAGCTTCTGTGTGTATATGGTGCATATTTCTAAATTAACGCTGTACCAATTTGTGGTCAGGTAGCATCTAATGGGGGAAAAAACTGAGAGAACTAGCACAGAATGGGATGAGCCCACCAATTTATTGTTTTTCCATAAGGCCTCCTGGAAGATAAATCTATCTTTTGTGGATACACAAACAGCGTCACCAGTGATAAAATGCTATGAAAGCATTACCACACAGTGGGATTTAAAGAATGCGAACATTCACTGATCAGACTGGGAGAGCGTAATGAAATGAAAACACTGTAAGCTTGTGGAGATCCCAGTAGACGGTTCAGCGTGTGTGCTGCCATGACTGAAATACAACAGGACAATGAGACAGAACAATTGGCAGTAACAAACACAACAGGTTTCTTTTTTTTTTAAATTCACTTTGATATTTCCTGTGAGATTGTCAATCGTCTGCTTTCACATCTAAAAGGACTTTTTCCACGACTTGCAAAGGATCTTCTGGAAGGCGTGCCGGAAGTCTCGGTTGAAGATGGTGTAAATGGCAGGGTTGAGGGAGCTGTTACAGTAGCCAATCCAAAAGAAGAATTTAAACAAGGGGTCAGGAATCTTACAGGACTCCCTACACACACCATACAGGCTGTAGCTAAAGAAAAAGGGGAACCAACACACAACAAACACCCCCATGACCACAGCCAGGACAAACGTAAACCTCTTCTCCCTGGCTTGAGAGGCCTTTTTTCTGGCTAAGGAGCTCCGGCGACGTTTCCTCCTGGAAGCAAAGAGGTCCATGGACTTGTTACTGACCCTGGAGATGCCAGTGGAGTGTTTGGAAAGGGGGCCCTTGTTTTTGCTGGCCCTCTTGGTTCTCTGGGAATCCTGGTGCTGGCTGGGTCTGTGACCTTTGTCTTCTGATGAGGAGCTCTCCTCCATGTCAGGGCTCTCAGTCTGCTGGCCCACGGTGACGGTGCGTTGGCTGGGCGTAGGCGGGCACTGACAGTGACCATTCTCCCTCTCGCCATGGAAAGGGGAGGTGGCTTTGCTCAGTCCATTCTCAGTTTGTGTCACACCATCTGGCTTGGATTTTTTTCCCGACATGCTTCTGGTTCTGGTTTTGGCCACCTGGTAGATTCTGATGTACACCAGAATCATAATTAAGCAGGGAGCGAAGAAGGACGCGATGCTGGAGGAGAGAATGTACCAAGTGTCATCATTCAGTTCGCACTGAGGCTGGGAGCTGATGTCGTTGTTGCTGTCGATAGATATGAGCGGAGGAGATGAGATAAACGCAGATATAAGCCACACAATCAGGATGATGCACTTGACGCGTTTGGGAGTCCGCTTCAGATTGTACTCTACAGCTTGCGTAACGGACCAGTACCGGTCCAGGCTTATTGCGCACAGATGCACAATAGATGAAGTACAGAACAAAACATCCAAAGCCAGATAAATACCACACCAAACTTTTCCAAAATACCAGTAGCCCATAAGTTCATTCGCCAGGGAAAACGGCATCACCAAAGTGGCGACGAGGATGTCCGCGGTGGCCAGAGACACCAGAAAAAGGTTCTGGGGGGCTTTAAGCGCCCTGCTCGTTAACACAGCGATAACCACCAGAATATTTCCAATGACGGTAAAAAGAATGAGAAAACTTACAAGGGCTGCAATTCCAGCTATAGCTGCTAAAGAGTATCCACTGTCCAGGCTCCAGGACGAATTCAAATGGATCACCGTGAACGCGTCCATTCCGCTGGCGTTAAACGGATCCATTCCAACTCTGCGCGTTTTTCACATGTATCCTGAACTGGGTGAATGCTGGCACACATTTGTATCCAACCCTCTAACGACAGGAGAGTCCATCAAAGGCGCGCTGCTCCGCTAATTTACTAATCTGACGACACGGAGACGCGCGCACGTACAGATACCCACTTAGGAGGCAAATTGCAGCCTGTTGATCAAGATAACTTCCAATCTTACATGCTGTTGCAGTCTTATCATGCGCCTCTTGTTTGCCAAGAGTTGAGTGGAGCTCTCCCTCCGTCAGCATGGTGCGCTTTCGCTCCTAATGATGCCCCATGTGTTGTACTCATAAAACTCACGCACCGCTGCCCCACCCCCGGCGCACAGCATTATTGTCATATTGTGGGAATGCAATGAGGCTGGGGCAAGGCTGTATTTAAGTCTCCATTTCCAAATTAATAATTGATTTTGTGTGGCGACTTCAAAATGAGACATGAAATTGTTCCAAATTTCTGAATCAGTGTGAGCCTTGATTAGTAAACATGCAAATTGTGTCTCTATAACCTTTGCAGATTTTTCTTTTCTACTCTTTAATAAACTCGCTGGAGATATTGCTGCACTCACAATATGCTACCACTGTTCAAGACGGTCCGTAACCAAAGCGAAGAAGTTGTCAGGCTATTTAAGATAAAATGCCAAAGGTGTGATCAAAAATCTTGTGCATGTGGTAGCAGCTTCAAGGAGATCATGAGAAGTGTGAGAGTGGTGGGAGGAAGCTGAAGATGTGTGGCTTGTTGTGGATTTGGGAGTTTAGCTCATAGGCAGAGAGACAGTCTGCTCATCCAGACACACCTCTGTGTGCATCAGGAATAGCAAATGGGTTAGATTTTCAACAGTCTGCTGCGTTTCACCTGTCCCTATACACCTTCACACATCCACGTTTTCAGGCTTAGTCTTTTCACGGCTCACACACACACACACACACACATACACACACACACCCTGAGGGTTGGGCTCAGACATTTGTCGGTGCAATTTGAGGGCCTACAGCATCTGTTTTACTGTGTTGAAATGTTGGAAAAGATGCATATTGATGTCAGAGCCCCTCAGGGAAGCTTTTAGACACAAATTAAACATTCCAAAATCAAGAAGCATAAGCTTAAAAGGTTGAGAATTCCTTGCAGGTAGAACAAATTGTTGCCTTTCACTCGTACATTTTCTGATGAAAATTGAATTTTTTTACTTTATTACCATGTCTAGTTGATGTTTCTTTTTTAAAACTGGAAGATACATAATGAGGGAAATAAGCAGTCAACACCATGGCTGAACATTTCCACTTAAAAGCTGTCATGTGATAATGACGGGGTTCCATACATAACAAACTAAACCCATCCTGTCAACTTGCAGAGGAGTAATTCCATCTAAAATTATCAGATGCCTTCTGCTTAAACATCTCTAATTTGCTTGAAACGTTTCGTACCCATAAGTTATCGATATTTAAAATTGTTTCTGTCAAATTTTACTTGATATATCAAATACTTTCTAAGATTTATTTTTTTTTGAGGATGAAAGACTAAAAACTTCACTGCTGTTTCTCATTGTGTGCCATTAATTGGCCCAGTAGATCAAATACTCTGTGATTGCAGGTGAGTTGAAATAGGGAAAAAAAAGTGAGGCAGTCATAAAAGTCCTATCTTTAAACATACATGAACAACAATAAAAAGATACTACCAAAGTCAACTAGTAATATTTTCTAAACTGTATGTCCTTGCATGTTACAGATAAACACACAATATGATTGGCACTGTCACCTCACAGCTCGAAGGTCATAGGTTAGATTCTCAGCCTGGGGCCTTTCTGTTTGTTATTTGTATGTTCTCCCTGTACTTGTGTGGGTTCCCACCGGGTGCTCTGGCTTAAGCACCCCTGCAACCCTCCAGAGGACAAAGTGGTGTATAGAAAATGGATGGATGGATGGATGGGCTACATAAACAGAGTGAACTGCTATTTTTTATTTTATTTTACTGTACTTACTGAATTTACACACTTGTTGGAAAAGATTCATTAAATGACAGCTAATTATAAAAAACAAAACAAAACCCTGAAAACACAAGGACAGTGGACATTCACACCACGAACTACAGGATTCAAATTCCACAACAAAAACAAACAAAAATTGAAAAATTGGGAGACTTTGGTGCTGCTTTACAAATGCTTGTGACTGGTTAGTAAATGGATCCAGGTCCAATAAAAGGAGCCTAATTAGAACAAACCAAATTTGATTAAACTTTATTTTCATTGCACAATGACATTGTTGAGCCAGAGATTGATGAAAAAGTTATGAAAACTCTCCCAAAGTTCACCTGTATATGAGATGTACCAGACTAGACCTGAAACAAATCGGCACTTACCTTCTGATTTGCAGAATCTGTAGAGACGCCGAGCCTCTGTTGTGTACGCTGTCATGTGCTCAACTCTCCTTTACCACATGATCGACATCCAATCATTTCTCTGAACAGTTTGTGCATCAAGGCAGATGTGTGGTTCTGAAATGGGATAGAAGAAAAGAATTGTAAGTTGCAAATATTTCATAATTATTGCACAAATTAAAAAAAAAAAAAAAAAACAGCCCTCAGAATATACTGATGAATAACTTTGACACTTGTTGGCACACATGGGCTTAAAACTCAGAGGAAACAAATGAGGCAAACATTGAAATACTCTCTATGGGATAAAGAGTTATCACCCCAATGCTGCCATCAATCACTGGAGGGACTAAACATCAGTTTATCCAGTTTTCTGAAAAGGTTTTGCACCTAATTAGGATTGCAAAACAGCACATTACAGAGGAAATCTGCTGACCATGGTGAATATCACACTAACTATATTATGGACTGCATTGCATCAAATAACGTGTTAAATAATCACTAACTTACCTTTTTGCACATGAACAAATTCACTGAAGATTCAAAGATAGTTTTCATTCAAGGCCACAGAGTTGTTAGAGGTGAAATATAATAAACGTGATTTTTGAAAACAGCCATAGCATCTACTGCAGTGATATGAGAAAAATGCTGAAAATATGTAAAAAGAAATTCCAGGATGAACGTTTTCAAAAGAAATAAAACTATCATTGACTTTGATAAATAATCCAGTCTTTATATCCGTACATGTAACTTGCAAAAAATAAGCACTGACAGTAAATGATAAAATGTCTGCTGCAATATTTGGTCATCCTTGTCACACAGACTTTGACTTCATGAATCGATTGCAGCACGTTATCCCACCGTTTCAGTTAACGCAAGTTGTTGTTTTACATTTTTTTAAAAAGAAAGGTGAAAATGTTCTGTTATTTAATGTAAAGTATGAATCACTAAGGTTAAATATGGAACAAAGCGGTTGCTGGATAACATGGAATACTTTTTTTGTTGTTGTTGTTATTGGACATTGGAAGACGCCATGACAAAAATGTCCATATTACCTTGAGTCTATTGGAAGAAAAAAGGGGTAACCATTAGGTTTGATAATAGCTTGTGTGTCACAGAGCTGCATCCAACAAAGGGGTTCATCATTTCTGCACTTCCCATTTATTGTGCATGTAAACAGCCCTGCAATGTATTCTGAAAACAGTGCTTTCTGTTATGAGAGATGAGACATCGCAACAGCCCATTCTTCATTTGCACAATGCTGAGGTCTATGCTACTACCCTGGGGCATTCAGCCTTTGTTTGCTGCCTCTGGAAACTCATAAAAAAAAACTTTTAAACTAAATGTTGTTGATCTAAAATGAAGACAGCTGCATGGCAATTTAATTCAATTCAATTTTATCTTTATAGCATCAATTCACAGCACATGTCATCTCACAGCACTTCATCTAATAATGTGAAGACCGTACGGATTTTAAACAAGGAACAGAGAACCCAACAATCCAAAGTTGTTTTTGGATTCTCTATGAACAAGCAGTTGGTGATGGTGGGAAGGAACCAAAAAAGAACTCCAACAGAACCAGGCTCAGGGATGGAGGCCATCTGCTTTGGCTGGTTAGGGTGAGAGTGGGGATGAAGGGAGTGAGGGATAGTCGGATAGCAGATGGAGAACAGATAATCATTACAAACAGAACAAAGAACATTTGGGAGGTTGGTGAAGCCAGTGACTGCAGATAAGACACGTAGCTCCAAATCCAGAGAAAAAGATGAAATAGGATAGTTACAGGAACATCAGTGTGTCTGCAGCTGGACGTATCCACAGAATAATGGAGACTTAACACTGGTCTTAAGAGTCTCCATTTCTGTCCACTTCCCAACATCATTTGTGTAAATCATAAGTAGAACATGTTTAAGACGTAGTTTTCAATGAGCTGGTATCGATACACACATGCAGCTTTAGTAAAGAGTGTCCTTTTCAGTGTCCTTTGGTGCAAGCATGACTCACTGCCCTACCTCATCCTGATAGCTTGTCTAGGGAGCTGAACCAGTGACCTTCTAGTCACAAGCCTTCCTCTGTCAGCTTCCTCCTTGTAGCTTCCACACAACTGCAGCAGCACATCTTCAGGTCCAAACTCACTTCCATAAATACAGAACAACCAAATGAGTACTGATAAATTATGATTCATTCAATTTACTGCTACACTCACAAGGACAGTAATAGCAAGTTCTAAGTCGACATTTTAATTCTTGTGAGCTCCGCTGTTGTGTTGTATACTCATGTTGTCCGTATCTGAATTAATGTACAATAAAAGGTATACTATGATGTGAATTCCTAAGTTATAAACTGAAAGCTTTAATGCCTCTTCTACCTTCTTGTGAAATACCAACCAACACAAAAAACACACAATACTTACAAACAATACTTGAAATACTTTTGAACAGCCGACAGCCATCAAAGACAATTCATGTATGTTCAAAGACCTCGGTGGTAACTGGGAATGATCCACCTGCTTTGAGCCATAATTAATACTCTAATTGGTCTTGACTGTCAGTGTGCATCACTACAAAAGGAACGGCCTTCCTTTCTGTTTTTAAAATTCCTTGA